CAAGTCCACATTCAGCACCACTTTATGCAATTGAGGCGTTTAGTCAGTGCAGTACTGATTGCTGGGAAAGTTTTAAGCAGGGATTGGTGGAATTTCAATCCTGGGTGGGCCTTGCCAAGCCTGCTTGATTTCCTTTTCTTTTCCTTGGACTGGCCTGGGCATACCAGTATTTGCTGGTTAGTCTGGTTGGTTGGGGCCCACCCTCAAATAGAAGCACTTGTCTGGACTCGGAATACCTCCAATTTTATTTTCCTTTCTCATGTTACTTATAACATTTAATGAGAATGTGTATTTTAATACAACAGTACCAAGGTTGTAGGGGCATGTTGATATTCTTTGTGGGTGGCAATCTGATTCTATATCTCCCTAGTTAGAATTCATTGTGTTGTCTCCAAATAGATTGAAAACTACTTGAAGGCACAGCTTTGTCATTTTTCATATAGTTGCTTTGGTGGTTAAAGCACTAAAGATAACGGCCCCATCACCCTACTTTTTCTCCCTCTTATACATACATCGACTTTGCTTAAAAAAAGAACTCTTCGGGGTGGGGGAGTGAGAATGAAATGCTAGTGCTCAGAGCTACATCCTTGATCTCTGCCAGTGCCCAGGTTCTGGCTACTATAGCGAATCTGTTACAGGGCAGGGAGAGGGGCACCACTGAACCCCCAAACCTGCCTGCACCCTAAAATCTGTCCCACCATAGAGATGGTGGTATTAAAAATCAAAAGGGACTGTGACAGGGTGGTCCCTAGGAAAAGGGGAAGTTCCAGGTTCCCTACCCCACCCATAAGTAGGGTGGAGCTGAGAAGAGAAAAAGGAAGAGAAGGAATCAGAGGAAGAAGGAAGCAGGATGGAGAGCCAGAAGGAGACCTGAGGAAGCCACATGGAGCAGAGAGCATTGATGAAGAAACCGTGCTAGTTTCTTGGCCCTGGACTGGTTGAAAGAAATGTGGTGAGAGACCCGTGGGGAGGTGACTATGGTGTTTATATTGATTGTGATTTTGCTCTTTTCCTCCTAGACTTGTCTGGCCATTTCTGACCCTTTTCTATGGGTCTGGGCCAGAAGGTGCTTTAGTCTTGTGGCAGGCTTTCAGGCCTTTGGATCAATCCCTTTCGGGTTGACTTTTACCCAGGAGGGGATGGGTAGCCTCAGGTGTCTGATTTAGGGTAGCCTCAGGTGTTTGCTTTAGAAACGATATTCTTTGGCTTATGTGTTGAATACTCACTGTATTAAAGTTCGTTTCCATTAAAGTCTTACATGTTTTGTCTTGATGGGCCGGATGGCAGAACCCATTTAGAGCAGGCAGGTTTGGGGGTTCAGTGGTGCCCCTCTCCCTGCCCTTTAGCAATTCCATCAACCCGACTAGAAGCCTCAGGTTTAAACCACTAACACCCGCCGTCTGCGCTGACCGGAAGCTGCTTGGCGCTCTCAGGCCCGCCTCACCTATCCCCTAAGGGCTCCGTTGATTGGCGGTGGCTGCTCCTGCCTGTCCAATGGGGAGGCGGCTGCTGTCTCCCGGAAGTAGCGGCGGGGCTGGGAAGGTGTTGGGGTTCTGGAGCTGGTGCGCAGACTCAAACGCAGGGCTTGGCTGCAGCTATGAGTTCCTTCGAGGGACAGATGGCCGAGTATCCGACCATCTCCATAGATCGTTTTGACAGGGAGAATCTGAGGGCCCGCGCCTACTTCCTGTCCCACTGCCACAAGGGTGAGTGAGTCCAGCGCGCCGCCGCCGCCCAGCCACCCGGGCTGCGCGGATTCAGTTGCTCACGGGACTGGAGAGGAGGAGATGAGCTCAGAGCAGTTTTAGGGGGACCAAGGGAGTGAACAGCAACTGTGCCTTTTCCCAGGGTGGCTTTCTTACACTTCTCTGAAATGTTATTTCTTCACCTGGAACAGCGACTGCCAATTGTGCCTACACCGATGGAGAGGAGCTGTGATTAAGCACAATGTTCGCATCTTTTGAAGGTTCCTAGCGAGCCCGTGGTCCGAGGTTGACGAGGATTCTTCAGCCACATTCTCATTTCCATGTTATAAAGACTAGTTTCAGATTACATTATGCCACCCCCTTGTATTAGTCGATATGCACTCAAACCAAATAGCTTATCTGTAAACTGGTAAGTGCAAGCTCCTTTTTAGATGGTCTGTCCACATCCTATATAAAGGATTCATTTTAATCTAGAGGCAGGACGCGGCTTTCCTCACAGAAGGCAGGTCAGGCAACCAGAACTGGACACGATTAAAGATTAAGCCTCGAGTGTCACTCCTAGTAAGATTTCCAGAGCAAGGCTGAACTCTGGAGCTGTTTACCTGGAATGCCACTGATTTTACAACCGTTTTCCATTTTAAACATGTTAAATTGACTAATATGACTCTGACTTTGCCTGTAACAACAGTTTTAATTTTCATGATGGTAATCAGTGCAGTTTTTGGCTTGGATCAGGGATGAAGATTAACTGAAGCTCTCTGGTAGCTGCCTGCTGGAGTGGGGACTTTCAGAATAACTTGAATAGGATGCTCCCAACCACTCTTCTGGGATGTAACAAACGTGCACATACCTATTGCAGGTTGTAATTTTAAAGTAAATCACATTGTAGCTGGATTCCCCTCCGCACTCCTCCTTTAGTAAAAAGCTCCTTTAGACTGCAAATTAGAAGTGGAATTAAATTCTAAACACCTTTGTGGTATCTCTTCCCTCTCCTAATGATTAACCATTAACTACCTGGACCTGCTTTTGTGGGAACTTGGAAATGTGAAGTCCTGTCCTTTCCTTGTATAATCCCAGCACTCCAGCCATTCAGGGACCTGGTTTTTGGAAGGCGCTTATTCTGCCAACTCTCTCATTGGCAAGCTAGAATACACTCCTCTGTGTAAAGACATTTCTTGTGGTTCAGAATTTGGCTTTCTGGGTGCAAGCAAAAGATCCAGTTTGCTGTTCGCATTAAACCGCTGCCCTTCCTCACAGGATTGGCATAAAAACTGTTAGTTCTGTGTGTGGACTCAATAGCTCTCAGGTGATGTAAACTGAGATTAAGCCTGGAGTGTCACTCCTAGTCAGACTACTAATGATACCTATTGAGCAAAGCCTAACCCCCTTTTTTTGATTTGTTAAATTGTTCTGGGAGCTTCCTTTCACTGTCTTTCTGCTGTGTCTTGAGGATGTTTTTACATTTTTGCTTTGTTTTTCATTGACTATCCCTTGCTGGGTGGGGACATCTTACTTAATTATTAAGTTTTATGTTGTTCACTGAAGTTTCTGAACTCAAAATGTGATACCCACGGCGACGGTGTGCTTAGAGGCTTGCTTTCAGGTCTAGGAGGAGTGAGTTTGGAGGATGTAGCATAAGCCCTGACAGTTGGGTTTTCTCTTTTTGTAGCTTTCATGCTGAGATACCCACTTCAAAGTGGGCTGTGCCAGCCACACAGGACCTGGTATAGAGCAGGCCTCCCTCCTAACTGTGCCTTTGTTTTAGAGATGTTGGTTAGTTTCAGTACCTACTCTAGTCTTGCTGTTTTTCTCTTACTGTTCTCTATTTTATGATTTAAATGCATCTACAGTGAGGTCTGTAGAGCCCTTGGCCCCAATAAAAGAATACTAGACCCTGTGCTCCCTAATTTTTTCTCTGTCTCTTTCCTCCCCCACCCCATTTAGTTGTTTGGCTCCAGGTGTGGAGGGTAATCCCTCTCCTCCACCCCAACTTGGGGTCAACATACTATTTATTTATTTTGAAAAAACACTTAGTTTTTCAAAGCTTCCTGATGGTTGTAGCTGAAGGGCATCTTGCCATCACATTAAGAATCCCCAGAGCTCATCCAGCTGCAGTTGCTTATTAATAGGCAGAGACCAGTATAAAACAAATAATTCATCTAAAGGGATTTGTGAGATTAACATTATTAGCATCACCCATTTTTGTACTTTCTGGATCCCAAATCTGTTCTTTGGACAGGCTTTACTAAGCATCAGTAAGGTCTGGCGGAAGAGAAGGGACCTGGAACTTGAGATAATGGCCTAGGGGTGAGGAGGACCCTTTCACCGTGGGCTGATGATGATTTACTGTGGTCTGGGGACAGAGATCTGGAGACTCTGGGTGCAGTTCTAGCAGCCCAAGGCCAACTCATCATCTTCTCTTGGCTGCCAGGCCTGTGATGATGGGAGGCAGTTTTAGATGGAGCCACTGCAAAGGGCTGACTTAGTGTGGGAGAATGTGTTTGTTGGTGATAATTAGATTGATTAGGACTGGTTTGATATAACTAAATAATTCGAAGTGTTTTGCCATTGTTAGTTAGGCCTTAGTTTGCTAAAGTTTCAGAATGAATTAGAATACACTATATATTTGATGTGCTATTTGGTGTGCTATTTGATGTACTGTTGGACTTAACTTTCCTTAAATGCCACCTTTTGTGTCTGTTAATTTGCGCCACAGAAAATTTTGTGTGGGTAGAAATTCTCCACATTTCGACTGAATAATGGCTAGGGACCAAGAAGATAATTAGAAACCCTTGTACTAACTTGAGCCTTAATGGTTTTGTCGAGGATTCCCTAGGATTAAGCTTGAATTTCCAGATGGGCTAACTTAAATGACTAGACTTGAATAGGTCACAGAGAGATTGACCACAGGTTGGCTGGGTTGAGGTCAAAGGAGAGTAAAGGAAATTGCTGGAAGCCATTCCGAAATGAGTCCTTGGTCATTCATTGCTTTGTGGCTACTCAAAACCATTTAAACACTGTCCAAAGATAGAAGGGATCATTGTTGTTTTAAAAAATTCCTGATGGCTACAGGTGATCAACTTTTAGAGATTGCTGACGAAATAGATTCAAATAGATTCTTCACTGTCTAAAGCCGCTGATGGCCTTTATGAATCAATTCTCTTATAAAAGTGAACCTCTCATATGATTTCTTTTAAAAGGAAACTTAAAAGGAGCAGACAACTCAATTTTCTTGGGCAAAGGAATCCTGTGGAAAAATAATACATTTATGATTGTTGCTTCTTTTGTTTTCAGATCACATGAAAGGATTAAGAGCCCCTTCTCTGAAAAGAAGGTTGGAGTGCAGGTAATTTGTTTTGCTACTTATTTGGGTGTTTTTAAAGTAAACATTTTCATTGTGCTGAATATGTACAGAAAGTGCATACATTGTGAAGGACAGATGAAGGAACATTTACAGTACATCACTATAGCTGCCACCCAGATCAAGACCTAGAAGAGCAGTCTCCTCTGACAAACCTTCCAGCCTGAGCCCTCACCCAAAGGTCATTGGTTCTGACTTTTGTCATCATGGTTCAGTGTTGGCTATTTCTGAACTTTATATATACAAACTAATACTGAATAGGGATTTCTGTTTTCTTTCACTTAAAATATTTGTCTGATTCATCTCTGCTATTGGTTATAGCAGTCGTTTGTTCTTACATCTTTGTATGATGTGTATAATTGACTGTTTGTTACAAAGAATCACATAAGCTTGTTGGATCTTTTCTTAAAGCTGAACTGTTGCATGTTATTTCTGTAGCCACTGCCTCAATCTAAATTCTGAGCCTAGATGATATATGGAAAGACCCTTACTGACTTTTGACTTTGAATCAGTGGGTCTCAGGCTTCAGCACTAAGTGATGACACCGATGGTCTTTGATTTTGATATCCAAAGTTAGCAATTATAGAATATTTACATTTGTGCCAGACATTACATATTTATGCCTAGAGGTTTCTTTGATTCCCCATACAACCCAGGCACTGTACTGGATATTGAGAGCATGAGAGTGAGCAACACCAATGAAAATCCCTATGTTCTTGGAGCTGACATTCTCTTCAGAGCCTCCTGATAACCTTTTGAATAGATCTTATTATGATTTCTATTTTACAGATGAGGAAACTGAGGAGCCAGAGAGGTTAAATTAGTTGCCCAAGGTCACTCAGCCAGTCAGTGGCAGGACCAGGATTTCAACCAGGTCTGTGTCATTTTAGAGCCTGTGTATTAGTTCTCTTGTTGCATAACAAATTACCCCAAATTTGGTGACTGAAAATAGCTCTAACCATGTATTGTCTCTCCATTTCTACAGTCAGATTCTGATAGCATTGGGTGGGATGGTAGGCTCCTGTCTGACTGGATGGCAGAGGGGGACTGGCATTATCTGAAGGCTCCTCATCCCCTATCAGGCACCTGGGCAGGGGAGACAGACACTGGGGCTGCTGGCGCCTCTCCCTCTGGCAGGTCTCTCCAGCATGGTTGTTCAGTGTCGCTGGACTCTACAAGTAGATATTCGGGGTATAAAAAGCACATGCCTCCAAAGCATATGCTTGGCGCACTATGGTGAGCAGGAGGCCATATTGGCTGGGGCGGAGGCTGAAAAGCCCTGCTGTGTTACCTCCATCACATTCTGTAGGTTAAGGCTGAAACAAAGATCCGCCCAAGTTCAAGGAGAGGTTAAAATAAACCCAACCTGTCAATAGGGGAAATGAACTTCCATTTCCAATTAGTAAATAGAGCATGTGTGGGTGGCATATTTATTAGTGCAGCTATCCTTGAAACTGTCAGAGACCAGACTCCTAATCTCTAAGTCATGCTGTTGAATTTTTAAAAGTTTATTATGGCCCTCCCTTGTGGCACAGTGGGTTAAGCACAGCACTGAGAATCTAAAGCCTCTTCCGCATGAGTTCGATTCCCGCCTGCCTCGGAGGTGACCACATGGTGTGGCAGACTTCTCCTGACCCGCCCGCTGCTCCCCTCAGCAGTGTACTTCGTGGATCTGCCTGTTCTGCTCCCCGCTCTGTCTCTGGTGAAGCCTCTCACCGCCCCTGAGCCTTTGGCCTATACCCCAGTTCTGTATGCACAAATAAATAAATCTTTAAAAAAAAAAAGTTTATTATAAAATTCATTTTGGCTCAGTAGTAGAATAGAGATCATTGATGTGAAATGGAGAAACTTCTGTCCCCCACACTCCCTCCCGTTCTTGGAGTCGGGTGAATGTTTGGTGGAGTTTTCCAGAAGTGCCTGCTCATGTGCATATCTCTAGCATACCTGGTGAAGGACAGACTTCCTTTTGAAGGCACCGCATTTTTTCACCTGCTGCTACCCTTGTTCCTTCGCACTCTTGGTCAGGTGGAGATGGGGATTATAGTGTTGGCGTATTGGGAGGCTCTGTAACTTTTGTGCCAGTTTCTGAATTATTTGAGAAAAACTGCTATGTGATAACATGTATTTTCTAGTCGGTCAAGTGACTGTGGATTATAACTGAAACTGTTCTTTTTTTCTCTTTTGCAGCTTGAAGGTTTTCTTATACTGTTCTCCTGTTACTAAAGAGTTGTTGCTAACTAACCCAAAGTACAAATTTTGGGAGAAAAGAATTGTAAGTTTTCCATTTTGAATGATACTGATTCTTTTTTTCTAAATGGGAAATATTTTTCAAGGTAGAGTGACAAGAAACATGGAATTGTTCAAAGTCCAGTGCCTCACATACTGTATTTGACCCATATTAATCTAATATTGATAATTAGTCTTGTAATTTAGCAGTTGAGGTTGACATTTTATTGTTTGAAATTTTTTATTGTTTTTTTTTGTCTCTTGACTGTTTGATCATAGTTCTTAGTTTTGTTTAATTTCACTTACTCTCTTGCTAAGATTCACTTTAACTCTTTAAGTGTAAAATATTCTTTTATATGTCTTTGATAAATCCTTATAGATCATGAGATGGACTAGAAAAAATTATGGGTTGTAACCCACAATTCATGGGTTATAATAAGAAAAGGATAACAACCAGAATGAAATAAAATGTAGTACTTTGAATATAGCCAAAATTAATTTTGTAGTAAGTTTTTAAAAATTCCACTGGCTCTATCCAATGGAAGGTAGATAGTAAAGAGAAGCAAAATGAAGGTTCTGGTACATAGAAAGTGAGACGATGACACTCTAGCATAATAGTAGTTACTATGGTATCGCTAGAAATGTGAATGGATTTAATACTATTCTCCCCCAAAAGGCAGCCAATTCTCAGTTTGGGTTAAAAAATAAGATCCAGTATCATTCTACAAGAGACTCAGGTGAAAGGATAAATGCAAACTGAAAGAAAGGAAAAGATACAATACATAATTAGATAATAAAAATGCAACATTTATAACATATGGAGTTGAACATATGAAGGCAACCTCCCTCCCTAAGTTTCAAAGAGGGTGTTACTTATTGATCAGGAGATGTGGGCATATATGCACTTTGCAAAATAGTTTCAAAGATAAAATATAACCAAGGGGACCTTTGCTACCCAGTGCGTGGTCAGAGAAATAGTGAATAGAATTAGTTTATAATGTGACTGAAATCTTAAATAATTCTGGGAACTGCAAAAGAAATCAACAAGCATTATAAAGAATGTATTTGATGGGTGACACTTCACAGCTTTCCCATCTCCTCTTTCCCCTTTTGCTTCACATCTGATACAGAAAACCTTTTCCACCCTGAGTCCTGATGAGATATTCAAGCCACACAGCACAAGTCTACCCCCTAACCATAGTAAAAATCCAAGGCCATTTTCTTGCAAGCCATAGGATCCACTCCTGGGAACAGCCTAAGATGTGTTCTTTCCACACCTTCTTGGTGCCTCTGTGGCTTCTTCCCTCCATCCTTTGACCTGTCAGTTGGATGGACTTCATTATTTTATAACTGAAGGTGTAGCCTTTGACAGCTTTCACCAGTTCTACTTGTGGCAACCACCAGTTTGTCCTCTGCATTCAAAAGTGTTATTTTTTTTAAGATTCTACTTATAGTAAGATCTTAAGTATATACCTCCCTTTGTCTAACATTTCACTAAACATAACGCTGCAAAGTCCAGTCATATTTATTACAAATGCAGGAGTTCTTCCCTTTTTGATGACCAACTAACATTTGTATGCATTTATCACATTATAGTTATCCATTAATCTGTCAGATTGATTCTGTATCTTAGCTATTATAAATAATGCTGTAGGCCCTTCCTGGTGGCATAGGGTTTTTAAAAAATCTCAGCACTGTCAAGTTGGATCCCAGTCAGGGAACTAACCTACATTGTGCAGTAGACCTCCCCTGCCTATCGCCTGCTGCTCCCCACTCTGTCTCTGGTGAATCCTCTCACTCACCACACCTCTGGCCTCACCCAGTTCTTGTGTGCATAAATCTTTTTTAAAAATAGTGCTGCATTCGGCCCTCCCTGGTGGCGCAGCAGGTTAAAGCACTGCACTAAGAAGCTTAAGCCACTTCCGCATGAGTTCAATCCCCGCCTGCCCAGGAGGAGATCCACATGGCGCGGCAGATCTTTCCTGACCCGCCCGCTGCTCCCCTCAGCAGTGTACTTCGTTGATCTGCCTGTTCTGCTCCCCACTCTGTCTGGTGAATCCTCTCACCCTCCGCATCTCTGGCCTGTACCCCAGTTCTGTACGAATAAATAAATAAATCTTTAAAAAAAAAAATAGTGCTGCATTCAACATGGGGAGGTACATATATCTTTCCAAGTTAGTGTTTTTGTTTCCTTCAGATAAATAACCGCAAGTGATATTGCTGGATCATATGGTCATTCTATTTTCAGTTATTTTGAGGAAGCTACATACTGATTTCTAGTGGTGCATCAGTTGTCATTTCTATCAACAAGTTGTAATTCACTGAAAGATAAAAAATTATATTCTTTCACTCAACTGCTTATTGATTGCCTCTCCGTGCCAGTTGCTGGTCTGCAGTAGTGTGCAAATACTTTGCAGAGCTCTCTGGCATTCGAGTCTGTGAACGAGCTCGTGCCATGGGCTGGTCCTGACCGATACGCAGACTAAACCTGATCACTTGGAATATGTGATGTTATGTTTTACCAATACTCAAGCTCAGAGGGAAGGAGGATTAGGCCTGGTAGGGATGCAGGAGTGAGGAAAATTGAGTCCATGGAAATAGAATTATCAGAGGATATATAAATTTATAAGACATTTAATATAGTCACCTTGCTTCAAGGACAATATTATTTAGCCTTATATATTTAAGCTGTAAAACATTTATTAGAGTGAAAGCAGAATTTTCTTACAGAAAGTTTGTAATTTCTTCTCTTAGTCCTCCCCTGTGTTTGAGATGACTTAATGTAAAGTTGTGAAAATGTGATGTATTTATATGATCTCTTAACTTTATTTTTAATAGCTATCAATTGAAATTGATACTCCTACCCAGATATCTCTGGTTGATGAAGCATCAGGAGAGGTAACTGTTAAATACTGTTTGTTTAAAAAAAAATTTAATGCTAAAATGCTTATCTTTCTCCTTGATTTTGAATGCTTATTTAGACATAAGTAAAAATTATGATTATTTAGGAAAAACTTTTGTGATTTATTTTCTGCATCTTAAGGATTAAACAGTCGACATAAAGGTTTTGGAGTGGACATCTATTTTCAATTCTTGCATATCTCCGTAGGAGTGGAATTTCTGTCTTGTCATAATTCTACATTTGTTTTCAACATTTGGAGAATGAGGAAATGAGGGAGAGAAGGGATAACTCAGTTTTGAGAAGTATTTGCATATATTCTAAGAAGAGCTTTAACAGAGGTCCTAATGACTTCTTCTGTTATCCTTGTTTTGTTTTTTATTTTTTTAGAAGGAAGAGATTGTTGTGACTCTCTTACCAGCTGGTCATTGTCCAGGATCAGTTATGTAAGGAGACATTTATTTTGCCATTTTATGTATATATGTATTTGTAGAAATAAAATTTTAGGGTCTAGAAACTAATATACTTGTGATTGATTATTCTTCTGGAAAAATCTGTCATCTGTACTCTTTCCAATTTAAATGGGGGGGAGGGGCTAAAACAAAGATTAGGTTTGAAAGGTGGCTTTCTTACAGTGGAAGCCTTCAAAAGCCATTTCTCCGTTGATCAGTCACATGGATTTTTTCTCTTCATCAAATGGGAGTGATTTTAATATATAGTTGAGAGTGGGGACTATTCCAGGGGTAGCTATTGTCTTACTTTTTTTCTGTCCAGGGAAGTACTGGCAGCTGAGTGCTACCATGGTCTGGAGTCATTGAAATTCCATGAAAACTGTTATAAATACAACTGTGTTTGGCAGGATATGTTTGCTATGGATTTAGTATGTATTTGCTTTATTAGGATTTTTAGAAGTCATTGAAAACTATTTCCTTTTCAGGTTTTTATTTCAGGGCAGTAATGGAACTGTCTTGTACACAGGAGACTTCAGATTGGCAAAAGGAGAAGCTGCCAGAATGGAACTACTGCACTGTGGGGGCAGGTACAGGGCTTAACATAGCTTTCGATGGAAGACTGTCATTTTAAAAAGTTTTGATTGCTTTTCTCCCCCAACACAAGTTTTTGTTTCTATTAAAAACCAGACTTGAAAAAATGTTCAGCATCACTGGTAATCAGGGAAATGCAAATCAAAGCCACAATGAGATACCATCTTACACCAGTGAGAACGGCACAAATTTAAAAAAATCTAGCAACAGCAAATACCGATGTGGAGAAAAGAACCCTCATACATTGCTAGTGGGAATGCAAATTATGGTTGCAAAAAACCAACCACTATGGAAAGCTGTGTGGAGGTTCAGTCGCTAAAAATTGACCTCCTGTATGATTCCACTCCTGGGTATTTATCCAAAGGACACAAAATAATTAATTCAAAAGAGCACTTACTATGTTTATTGCAGCACTATTCACAATAGGTAAGCTAGGGAAACAACCCAAATGTCCAAAAATAGATGACTGGATCAAGATGTGGTATATATAGTTAGCAACCAAAAAAAGATAAATTCATGCCGTTCATAGCAACATGGATAGAGTGGAAGGGATCATGCTCAGTGAAATTAGCAAAAAAGAAAAATATAGGATGGTTTCGCTTACAGGAGGAACACAGGGTACCCAAATAAAGGATTGGAAAGGGGAGTAATTATACCAAAGTAAAAACCAAAATCAGTGGGCAGCTATAAACCAGAGATATTCTTGGAGGGTATGGGGAGGAGGAAATTGGATCAAAACAGGGGTGGGAAGAGTGCAAGGCACTAGGATGATGGTGCATGGGTGAATTGGTGATGGGAACTTCTTGGGAACCATACACAAGAGGATAAAGCATGCATTGTGTGAAAAAGAATAATGATGTAAAAATTATATGTAAAATAAAATCAGACTTGAATATTTGCAATAGTAAATTTTGTTTGAAATGGGGTTGATTGGATTGGTAGTTCCATGGTCAAAATTTACCAAATCATATTTGCAAGCATCTGTTATGTGGGAGGAAATTTATTTCCCTACAGAGTTGATTTAATTGAAAATGGAATGGAACACCCTGAAATACCTGAGAGTTTAATTTCTACACAGAATTTGTCTCATTAACACTATTTCTTTTTTTGTTGTCAGAGTGAAAGACATCCAAAGTGTATACTTAGATACAACTTTCTGTGATCCAAAGTTTTATCAAATTCCAAGTCGGGTAAGTCTTTGGCAAAAAGGTGATAACCTGGCTGTGGCCATGTTTCTTTCTTTCTTTTGTTTTTTTTTTTTTTAAAGATTTATTTATTTGCGCATACAAAACTGGGGTGCAGGCCAGAGGCTCAGGGGCGGGGAGAAGCTTCACCAGAGACACAGTGGGGAGCAGAACAGGCAGGTCAACGAAGTACACCGCTGAGGGGAGCAGTGGGCGGGTCAGGAGAGGTCTGGCTCGCCATGTGGTCACCTCCGGGGCAGGCGGGAATTGAACTCATGCACAAGCGGCTTTAGATTCTCAGTGCTGTGCTTTAACCCTCTGCGCCACCAGGGAAGGCCCCATGTTTCTTTTTAGTTGGAGGTTTTCAGGATAACAAATTAGGCCACAGTTGTCCCCATTTGGGATTCATACTTATGAATGCTGGGAAAAGACAGGGTGACATTCTTAAAATTGTTTACATGTCTTTTAAAAATCCTGTCCAGGGGGAGTGTCTGAGTGGAATATTAGAGCTGGTTCGAAGCTGGATCACTCGGAGTCCCTGCCATGTTGTATGGCTGAACTGCAAAGCAGCTTACGGGTATGAATATCTATTCACCAACCTCAGTGAAGAATTTGGAGTACAGGTATGGTGATGGCTCTTTCTTTTCTGTCACTCTCACCCCTCTGGACTCAGGTTGCCATCTTCCTACTGGTGCCCTTAGATGGCATGTTTTTTGTCTTTATGATTAAGTTGTTCTTGATGGTTTTTATACATGTATTCGCTGCTGTATTCCCAGTATTTAAGAAAAAAAAATTTGATCTAGAAGAGGTGTACAATAAATATTAATGTAAAGTCTCTTGAAACCCACAAACTCTGCCTTTGAGATTTATTTCCACCAATAATAGGTGGTATTCCTGACAGGTAGAGGCAGGTCTTTGTACTTTACCTGCTGACATCTAAGCCTACACCCTGAAATAATTCAAAAATGGTTTCAAGAAAGAAAGATTTGCCCCAGCACAATTACCCTTGAACAATTTATAGTTAACACATTTTTCAAAATGTATGTTATTTTCTTTAGGTTCATGTGGATAAACTTGACATGTTTAGAAACATGCCCGATATTCTTCAACATCTCACCACAGACCGTAATACTCAGATCCATGCATGTCGGCACCCGCAGGTAGAGTGTAAATTGTTTTTTTTTTTACTGTTTGTATTATCCATGGGAAACAATTTTAGGCCTAGAAGGAAGCTTAGGAATTTCATTTTCTAGGTTCCTGAAATTACAGACAAAAAAATAAGTCTGAGAGTCCTAAGTCCTAAGCCCATGGTCATGCAATTGCATACAGCTGTATTCCATTACCATAGACTTCATAAACGAAGAATTAGTTTTTTTTTTTAGATAAAAGATATTTATATGCATTTGATAATTCTTACTATGTAATAATAACTTGTAATGAAATTAGTAATAAATTATAGCATATAATTAACAAAACCACTAATTTACTGTTTTTACTCTTTTGAGATGACATGCACTTTACCAGCATTATGTTTATTCTCATTTGAAAGAAAGATCCAGATGTAACTTGGAACTTTGAAATAATTGCATGTATTGACAGTGCAATTTCAGCTGAATGTTTCTAGTGTTTTTACCACTTGTGATTTGTTTTCTGATGCCAACATAGAACTCCTGATGTTCTGAATTTGCTTTTGACATTTTTTAAAAATTTTAATTTATATAGTCATTCAACATCAGTAATGCAAGTGATTTTTAAACAGTGGTATGGGAGCTCATAAGTTTCCTCTATATTTTAAAGTATCTTACATGCAAATGAGTAATATGAGTAGCATATCTATATATCCCACATATATGATTAGTAAGCACTGCAATACAGTTTTCATCCACAGAATGATGTCTACAAATATAGCTACAAAATAGTAACTTTTTTTTTCATTTGGACTTGTGCTATTGTCTTTCAATTGGCAAATTTCCTTTTGCTGTGTATTTTCTTGTGTCTCACAAAGTAGCTTAATTTCTAAATCTAATCTTGTCATTTCCCACATGACTACTTTCCTTGGAACACTACTTAACAGTGGCTTATGGCATTTCTTAGCTCACACAGCCTTTAAAATCCTGATTAAAAACAGCCTGCAGAGCTCTCATGCACTGCCTCACCTACAACCTCTCAGAAACAGCATCAGAGGCCCCTGTGGCATCTGATTTGGGTGGAATGCTAATGGCTTTGAAGGATCCGTATCTAAGCAGTGTCCTTGGAAAAATAGTTCCCTTATCTTTCAACCTTTATAAAAACATCTTTGTTACTTTTATTCTCCTACTTTATTTGAAGGTTTGGGGACTGTAAAGTTAGAAGATTAGTACAAAGAACACCCAGGCAGTCTTCCTTTGTATTCCCCAGTCACCACATCTCCCTCCAACCTATTTGAGACACAGTTGCAGACTTTATTACTTATTACCCTAAATTGTCAGCACATCCTGCTGGAGAAGGACATTCTCATACATAAACACAGCATGCCCGCTTTCAGATTTGACACTGATACTGTATTCTGGATATTAGATATTTCATAATCAGATTTCCCCAGCTGTCCCAAAATGGTCTTTTATAGTTTGTGGAGAAGGGAGAGCAGCAGAAGGGTTTAAGCTAAGAATACTCTAGTATTCACTCAAGCCACTTTTGTCAAGGCTCCCACCTTTGAAAGGTTTTCTTCCAAGCATCCAGGCCAGATATTTTGAGAATGTTGCTTAATTTAGAATCGTAATCATTTCCTCATGTGTACATTTTTCTATCATGTCTAAACATTTACCTCCATTTGTTCTTGTGAATGTGACCATAAACAGGTTTAATGAAATATTGAGCTATTTTTCTGTGTATTTTAAAATCTTTTTTAGGCAGAGGAATACTTTCAGTGGAATAAATTACCCTGTGGAATTACTTCCAAAAATAAAATTCCACTTCACACAATTAGCATTAAGCCATCTACTATGTGGTTTGGAGAAAGAACCAGAAAAACAAATGTAATTGTGAGGTAAGAAAGCAGTTTTATAGGTCTTTTGAGAGATGTTTTGCTTTGAAGCAAATTGTTAACATTTTGAATGCAATCTAGTGTAATTCTGAAAATGTATCATAGTTGTGGAAAATAGTTTCTGAATTTAACCTCTTTTAAAAGTCTCTAATTCTGAATCTATCTAGTGCCTAACACTCGTCAGCCCATTTCCTGAGATCTGCTCTAGTTAGTAGATAATATGGTTGGAAACTGCACGTCTTGCTTGGTAAGGAGTTTAAGTTGATACTGTGAGGAACAGAAGGTACCCCTTTGGTGGGGTACCTTAGATCATCATATTCTAGCTGTTCATAGTGTCTACTGTATTTATTTTTGGAGAGTTCCCCTCTGTATTGATTAGGTGATGTAATTGGAGTAACCCAAACTGGGAAGACTCAAACTTGAGAACTTGGTTGTTTTGGATAAGTGAACTTGTTTTTCATTCCCCTTTAGGACTGGAGAGAGTTCATACAGAGCGTGCTTTTCTTTTCACTCATCCTACAGTGAGGTGAGACGATCATGGGTACTCAACATTACTGTACTGCTTGAAACTTCATGGCTGAAAATAGTAGTCCCCTTGACTTCTAAGGCATCTTTTTTTACTGCTTAGCATTTATTGTATCATTTCCTGTACAAATGCAGGGAAAATAATCCTAGTGGATGAGGTAAAGTACACAGGAAGTTGCCATTCTCTCCTGTTCTCAGTATAAATATTGAAGAATGTGTATGATTAAGGTTTGCTTCCCACCTTGCTCTCTAAATTTATTTTGTACTTCCCTGCTTTAGTAGTTTTGTTCATCTGTCATGAATGAATCAAAAGTCTTAAATTTGAGGCAGTACTTATAGGTAAAAATCTGATTATGACAAGCCTTAAGGTACTGTCTATTTTCCTGATCTCTTCCAAAGTTTCACTATACTGAAAGCCACTTAATAAATAGTCCTGGGTATTTAGCAATGCAGAATAATAAAGATGATTGAAATACAGACCTTCTTCTTAAGAAGAACATAATATAGTAAAATTGCTCAGGTTAAGAAAAAAATGTTTTTCTGTTATGGTACTTTTTATATAGGAAATTGATCTCTGCTACACCAGCAACTTGATAAAATTTATTTGCAAAAATACTTATGTATTTAAAGTATTAGCAAATGCAGAGATTCAGTAAATTCATGTATTAGATAAAAGGTAATATAAAAGCAGGCTTTTTATGACACTAGGCCATACATAATTTTCGTGGTACCATTTCTGCACCTAAAAATCCATTTCTCTGGTAAATATATTGTACTTGTGTTATATGGACATAGCACTAAGTAGTGAGCCATACATGTGTTCATGATTTGAACAGATGGAGTCTTGTAACGCATTAGGTAGCAGCATTCTTACCAAGTCAGCCATAATACTGTAAATGATTCTTCACCATATTACCAAAATGTCACAGTGACATCTTTAATAACTGGCCTTAACTTTTAGGCACAGGCACTTTTGGAGTAATTTATTTTGATAATTTAGCTAGTGTTTTGTCAGCTTACTCTGGCTCTTGCCTGGGTTTGGCATTTGGCTCAGCATCAGTGTCCCTTCCTATATATAAATGCATTTAACAACTGCAGGTTTAAACCTCATTTCCTTTGAGATTTTTTCGAAATAGTTGATTTCTCATCAATCATGCATTCTCACTAGAATTTGCTTTTAACTCCCCCAGTCAGTATTAGTGGTAGTGGGGCTTTGTGGTCATTTTCAGATATGAACAGGAGTGGTAAAAAATATGAGTCACCTGGACTTCTATACAGGAATCCAACAAGAGGAAAGCCCACGACTATAGTAAAATAATGCCAAACACCCTGAGGGAAAAATGAACAACCACAACACACACTTGGAATAACAGTCTGACAGAAAGGGGCAGGAAAAATTCTAAGGGAACTCTGTTCATAGTGATCCTGGGGCACAGGGTACAGGAGGGAGGGACAGGTGCTCTATGGAACCACTCTGTTGTTGATTGGCACTGCTGAGATCTGGGGCGGCCCTGGAGAGGGTGCTGCACACACCGGCTCACAGGAAGGAGAGTGTGCTAGGGGAAAGCTGCAGGTGTGGTGATGTAGAGTGAGGATTACTGGCTTGAGTCTGAGGCATTCCATCTAGAACAGCTGGGGTCTGAATTGTCAGGGAAAAGCAGGTGGGAATAGTGTATGCTGTTATAAATAGAAAACCCTAAAAACTCCACCAAAAAGTTATTAGAACCAATAGAGAAACACAGCAGGGAGGCAGGTAACAAAATCAACATAGGAAAATCCTTAGCCTTTTTATATACAGACAAGACACAAAAAATTAATAATTAATGACTGATATTTATTATTAATTCCATTTATAATTGCTTTAAAAAGAACTATATACCTCAGAGTTTACCTAAGGAGGGAAAAGATCTATACAGGAACTGCAAGAAGTTATTAAAGGACTTGGATGGTGATGAAAGGAGATGGGAGGAGATCTCATGCTCATGGCTGGGGAGAATCAATATAATCAAAATTACTGTCTTGTGTAGACTGATATATAGTTTACTGCAGTTACCATCAAAACACCACCAGTATTTTCCAAAGAAATGGAAAAAAAATACTGAAACTTATATGAAACCTCAAATGGCCTCAAATTGCAAAAGCAACCTGGAGAGAAAAGAAAGTATCACATTACCCAACTTTAAACTTAAATATAAAGCGACAGTACTAAAAAAAAGTACGTTGGCACAAAAATAGATACATGAATTAATGGAATAGAACTGAAATCTAGAAATCCCACTCTTGGGCATAGATCCAAAGAATATGAAATCATCAACACAAAAGGCCATGTGGTTCCAGTGTTCATAGGAACATTATTGCAGTAGTTAGAATGTAGAAGCATCCTAAATGTTCAAGAAAGGCTGACTGGATCTAAAAGATTTACATACATACCATTGAGAATTATGTAGCCTTAAGAATGAAGTGCATTCATTTTCAACAACAGGGAGGGAGTTTGAGGGAACTTTATATAGTATAGAAAAAGCCATAAAAAATACTGCACATTTATATAGCAGTTTGATAACAAAATCAATTTAAAATACATGTGATCATCAGTAAATATGATGAGGACTCAGGTTAAGATGGAGGACAGGAAAAGGGGAAGGGGACATAAGAGCAGTGGTGTCAAGACACAAACTCATAAATGTGAAAAGTTTAAATGTGTTGTTTACAGAATAGTCACCTGGTGTACACATTCCTATTCTGGTTTCTTGCTTTAGCTCTGTAAACAATAGTCCTTTTCACAAATTTTGTCCTTATTTTTAGTGATTTTGCTATTTAAAAGAGCTCCCAAAGATAAGCCAGAAAGAGAAAGAAAAATACCGGGTGGTTTCACTCATAGCAGGAGTATAATGGACCAGGCGAGAAAATAACAAAAATAATGAACAACCATATACCAGAGACATTCTGTGGGGGTGGAGTGGGGAATGGGATCAAAAACGGGGGGTGGGAGGGAGGAGAAGGGAGGGAAATGCACGGGACTATGGTGGTGGCACAGGGGTGATTTGGTGATGGGAAACCCGCGGGGATTACAATCGAGATGAAAAAAAAAAATGTGCAAAATGATGTAAAAATAAACTTTGTAATAAAAAAAAAGTTCAAGAATTACAAAAAAAAAAAAAAAAAAAAGCTCCCAAAGATTGTGAGGTACTATCTAGTGTTCCTAGGTGCAAGGAGTGAGGCACCTTGTGGAGGAAGAAAACACATTTGCTACATAACTTCCATTAAGGGAACATCTATAGAGCTGTTGGTCATGAGTTCAATGTTAATGCACCATATTTATTTAATAGGTTTTTAAACACAAGGTGTTATATTGACCATTGACAAAAATGCAATTACCAGAGGCTGACAGGAACAAAACCCTGTTATCTTAGTAGCAGTGACCCAATGTTAACTAGTTGTTGTTGGAGATGATGTAATAGAGCATATCTACTGTGAATCATAAGAATTGTGTTAAAACAAAAGGGCATTGATTTGTACAGGTGAAGGGGGCAGCCTTCTTTTGGGTATCTGGTCACCAAGAAGAGTTGAATCATTTCTGGTATAGGCTTGATTGGTATAGGCCCTCTTTCCTTCAAAAGCTTCATATATCAGCCATTCTTGTCTTTGGGTTGACTACAAATCATATAGGTTATGAGCAGGTAAATAATGGTTTCTACTTGCATGTTTATGAAAAATGTCTCAAGAATGTATCCTTTCCTTTTCTACTAACTTAACCATTTTATTTATACATGGATTTACTGAGAATTCCTTGGTTCTACTCTCTTGATTTGGTCCTTTATTAGAAAACTCTGGTAATAATTACTTTATGCTCTAACCTTCCCCAACTGTAGAAGGGAATAAAAGTATCTGTGTTGTCATTATCAACTCTGTAATGGATATTTTATGTAATCACGTACCAGGTACTGATCTTTGCATTATCTCAGTCTCAGAATCTAAGACTTAGATGTCTATTTTAGGTAACTTGGCTGAGATCACAAACTCATCAAGCTCTAATAAATGGCAAAGTTGCAGTTGTAGAGATGTGTTGAGGAATGACAGAATTCCTGTTTAGCATTCTGAGCTTTACAGAAAATCAAATTATTTGTGAAAATTTTGCATGTAATTATTTTTGTTTAGATTACAATAAGTCTTTAGAACAAACTAAGCATCCTGAAAGATGCAGTTCCTTTGGTATTATTAACAATTATTTGTGGAAAGAAATGGTATTGTAAGACCTTGTTTTCTTTTGTGTGTTGAAGTTAATATTTAGCTAAATTCTAATTTACTTGAAGGGGATTTGTTAAATGGGATGATTGACCTCCTTGAACAAGAAACTAATGCCATATCGAGACCTTTGAGTCCTATTAATTATTCTCAGTCCTTACTGTGGAACAGAATTACCTGAAGAACATTTATATATACTGACTCTTGGGCCCCCCATTGCTTAGTGTTAAAAGTATATTTGGGGTGAGGCCTAAATGTTGGGTATTTCTCCCTCCTAAGAGGTCCCCAAGTGATCCTCATACGCAGCCAACACTGACAATCCCAACTCATGAGAGTTTTGCCTCCCTTATCTCTGACCTACGTTGATTCTCTATTTTTCACTGTAGAGTCAATCAATCCATTTTATTTTCTTCTAGATTAAAGATTTCTTGAGCTACATCAGCCCTGTGAATGCATATCCAAATGTCATCCCAGTAGGCACAACTGTGGATAAAGTTAAAGAAATGTGAGTAGTTACTACTGGTGGGGCTTGAACTGTTGAGCGGGATGAATCCAGCCAATATTTGGGGTCTCATAACAGGAGCAAGGATGAGGATTGATATGCCTATAAATATGTGTCAGGTTGGAAGCACAGTGATGCTGCAGGTGGCTATGTTTAATGCTAGAGGCTTCTGGGAATTTGGCGTAAGGATGCAGCTGACAATGAGACCCTCAAAAGGGCAACACACCTTCACATATTTATATATGTGTATATATTTTCTGTACCTTCTGTATTTTATCTCCACCATGTCTTGGCTTTCAGTCTGTAGGACATCAAGCTCGTGAGATTCTGGCAAGAGATAAACCACAATAAACATGGAAGGGAGAACAGCTCTCTCTACTGTATATTCCCTGAATGGCAGAAGATGCCATTACTGTATTAAATAGAATAGGGCCTCCCTTATGGCGTAAGGGGTTAAACCACAGCACTATGAAGCTATCCACAGCCACTGCAGCACTGAAGGCTAGGGTGCAGACTTCTCTTCTCTTGCTCACTTGCCCCTCCGTGGTGTGTTTCAGAACATCTGCCTGTTCTACTCCCTACTCTGCCTCTGGTGAATCCTCTCATCCCCTGCACCTCTGGCATATACTCCAGTTCTTACATGCAAAAATGTATCTTAAAAAATAGTGGGCCCTCCCTGGTGGCACAGCTGGGTAAAGCACAGCACTAGGAAGCTAAAGCCACTTCAGCATGAGTTCGATCCCCAGCCCCGGAGGTGACCCTCATGGCACGGCAGACCTCTCCTGACCTGCCCGCTGCTCCCCTCAGCAGTGTACTTCCTCGATCTGCCTGTTCTGCTCCCCACTCTATCTCTGGTGCAGCCTCTCACCACCCCTGTACCTCTGGCCTGTACCCCAGTTCTCTATGCATAAATAAATCTTTAAAAAAAAAAAAGTTTAAAATAGGGACAACTTTCTAAGTTTTTTCTTTCCTCCACTCCTACAATTAGATAGCAGTCTACCAGGGTGTTTTAAAATGCACTTTACTATATTGAAGTGATTGTTTTCCTTTTTAGTTTATAAAAGTTGTTTAAAGCTGGGGTACAGGCCAGAAGTGTGGGGAGTGAGAGAATTTACCAGAGACAGAGTGGGGAGTAGAACAGGCAGACTGACTTAAAAACTGTTGAGGGGAGCAGTGGGTGGGACAGGAGAGGTCTGCTGCAGACTGTTTGAAAGTGCTGCATCTTAACCCCTGCCACTTGGGAGGCCCCTAATTTTTTTATAATTTCTGTAAGTGATGCTTACATTCCAGCAGCTATCAAGAGGAAAAATATCTGTATTGATTTTAGCTTGAAACCTTTGTGCCGATCTTCCCAAAGTATGGAGCAAAAGTATAAACCACTTGGAAAACTGAAGAGAACTAGAACAACACACTTAGACTCAGGTAAGAGTGGTTACTCTGGGTTCAGAGGTGTGGGCTTCCCTTCAAGATTGCTTTCCAGGGTGCTCTAGTCTCGTCAGAGGTGCATGGGGGAGGGGTGGGCTGGAGACCCATTGTAACTCAGACTTGTCACATGGTCCCAGGAAGTGCTTTGTCTTGTTTTCAACTGTAAAATTAGAAAAAGTGGGCCTATATAGAACATTGTTCTTAGCTTTCTGGAAAAATGCTCTGTGGTTAGTATAGACCATGAGGAGGTTGACCTGTTTGTTGTCTTTGAACATTTCTAAATCATACTATTAAGTGATATGATTTAGTAATCATAAATAGTAGAGAATACTACTACTGTAAAACTTACTGTATGGCAATGTTATGTTAGGTCCTTTACATATATTGTAGCGAAAATTCAAACATATATAAGGGATAACAATACCAATGAGAAAAGTGAAGCTTACAGAGCAAGATAAAGCGCATGTCCCCCCTGCTCCCACCAAAGTCCAGCAGGTGTTAGTGCTGGGATTTGAATCCAGGCTTGTCTTTTCTATTTCCATTTTTTTTCATTTCCTCTCATTCAGAATTTAATTGAAAAAAAAATTATATGCCAGTTTTAGGATTGACATTACACCAGTAAGCCTGTTACTGGCGGCTGGAAAAAAAGCATATTTGGTTTTTGACTGAGTAATTAAAATGTTTTAGGAAAATAACTATTTAATTCAAGTCTATCATGTAATGCATCTTCTAATCCTCATATACAAACATAGTTTTGTTTAGAAATAACTATATTGAAGTATAATTGACATTCTAGGAATTTCACATTTTAAGTATCTTACTTGTGGGCCTCCCCTGTGGTGCAGGGGTTATAATCTCAGCGCTGTCAATTTCAGCCATGCAGCATGAATTTGATCCCTGACTATGGAGCTAGCCTACAAGGTGCAGTAGACCTCTCCTGTTTCACCCATTTCTCCCCTCTGCAATGTATTTCAGTAGATACATTTAGGGGACTCCCCTGTCTCTAGTGAGTCCCTCTCACTACCTGCACATCTGACCTACATCCCAGTTCTTATATTCATAAGTAAAAATAAACCTTAAAAAATAAAGTATCTCATTTGATAATTTTACATTTCATATACTTGGAGAAAATAGAATTTAAATAATGAAAGCTATCAGCTTGCCAATTTATGCAAAAATGTCCACTGCTGAGATTCTGGGTGTGTTAAATCTAGTGATTGATTTGAGAAAGACTGATTTTTAACTTTCAGGTTCATGATTATGGTATATCATCTCCCCTTAAACTTCGCTTATTGTTTGGTAATTTTTAGTGTCTTGGTGATGACCATCTTTTGTTGGACTGATTTATAAGTATTTCATTTCTGATACTATTGTACATAATACTAAGAAAAAATTTGATTATAACAGAACTGGTATTTTTCAACTTTATTAATCCCACTTGTTTCTTGTGTCTTTTCTGTAGATTCCATTGTATATACTGTCACATGATAATAGAAAAGTTTTAGCTTTTTCTTTTCAATCTGAATGTTATTTCATGCCATGTTGAACTAGTTAAGACTATCATTATAATGGTGAATAGAAGCAGCCAGGGTGGGCATCAATCATTGCCTTTTCCTCAAGTCTTCGTAGGAAAGCATTCATCCTTTACTGTCAAGTATGATATTAGCTCTAAGTTTTCATTGATGCATTTCCGCTGATCAGTATGGTGAATTACACTGATTGCTCCTTAAGTATTAAGTCAATCTTGTATTCTTGGACAAACCCCATGTGTTTGCAACATATTCCTTTTCAGATGTTACTCAGTTTGACTTGCCAGGAATTTATCATTTTTCAGGAGGGATAGTGTTCTGAAATTGTTTTTTTTTTTTTTTTATCCCTTGCAATATCTTAGTGGTTCTTGCATTGGAGTTAGCGTACTTATATCAAATCATTTGTAGAATTTGCCAGGGAAGCAACCTGAAAGGTTTTCTGTGGAAAGGTTTAAAACCACAAAAGCATTATTTTGGAATAAACTTGTTCATAATATCTCCTTGAACTAATCCTTTTAATATCTGCATAATCTAGTGCTGAAACTTTGTACTGATGTTAGTAATTTGTATCTTTACTGTTTTGTATTTTTTCCCCCCTATGATTAGAGGCTTGCCAACATTATTGATCTCAAAGAACCAACTTTTTGTTGTTTGGTTTTGTTTTCTACCTCATTGTCACTCTGAACTCTCACTGCTTACTCTGGGTTTAATTTGCTCTTCATTTTAAAAATTTTTTAATATAGGAGTTGAGATCATTAATTGGAGACCTTTTCCCCTTAATTCAGACATCTGGTTTTCTGAGTTTCCCTCCTTATTCCCCAAATTTGACTTTTCACTGAAGTTCAAAATACTAACTTTTCTTTTAAAATATTTGTTTACTTATGCATGCAAGAACTAGGGTGTAGGCCAGAGGTACAGGGAGGTGAGAGGATTCATCAGACAGAGTGCAGAGCAAAACAGGTGGATCTACTAAAATACACTGCTGAGGGGAGCAGAGGCCAAGACAGGAGAGGTCTGCTATGCTATGTGGTCAGCTCCTGGTCTGATCTGGGATCAAACTTGTGCTGCAGTAGTTGGCGATAGCTTGATAGCACTGTGGCCACCAGGGAGACCCTTGATTTCACTTTTGATGCATGGATTATTTAGAAGTGTTAGTTTCTGAGTTCTGGGAGATTTTCTTGCAGTCATTCTGTTATCTACATTTTATTGTGCATAAAAACATTTTGAGGTCATTTAAAATACTTTTTATTTTTTTTTTTTACATTTTAAAAGAACAGAAAAAATAAGAGGCACCTGTATTGACATAGGCAGACAACCTTGGGACAAAAGCTGCCAGAATACTGTGTATTTTAACTGAGATCTATGGTCCCGAATGATCACCCATCTTGTTTAGTGTTTCATGTATACTTGAAAGATTTTATGGACATGGTTAATATACTGCTATTGAATGAAATGATCTTTAACAATTAGATCAAATTCATAATGTTCAGGTTTTCAATATCCTTGCTGATTTACTTACCTTCTCTTCTATACTTGCACTGTTATTGAGGGAAGTTGTTGAAATCCCCAGATGTAATTGTAAATTTGTCTATTTCTCCTCAGCATTCTCTACTTTTTGAAGCACAGTTATTAATGGGGGTTTTGGATTAGTGTTTTGAGGGACTGACCCCTTCATCTCTAAGAAATAACTCATTATCCCTGGTAGTATTTTTAGCTCTGAAATCTCCTAATCAAATACTAATAGAGGCATTCAATTTCTTCAGTTAAGTGTTAAGTATTTTTTCCCATTTAAATTTTTTTGTTCTTATATTTAAAGTAGGGGTGTGTGTGTGTGTCTATATAGAACTGGGGTGTAGGGCATGATAGGATTCACCAGAGACAGTGGAGAGCAGCCAGTAAGACAGGAAAAGTCTGCGCCTTATGTTAATTAACTCACTGGCTGGGGATGGAATTCATGCTATAACTGTAATACTACAGACTTAACCCATTGGCCACCAGGGAGGCCCATAAAGTAGGTTTCTTATAAGTATCATATTGTTGGGTTTTGTTTTATAGCCAATCTGATAATTTATGCCTTTTAATTGTAGTGTTTAGATCATTTAGGTGTAATGTGATTACTGATAGTTTTAATTTACTACCTTGCCATTTGTTCTATCCATCTGTTCATTTCTTCCCTCTTCTGCTTCCTTCTGGATAAAGTTGTTTGATTTCACTTAATTTCAGCTTTTGTCTGTAACATTTTAATGGTTTATAGTATATATAGTTTACACTTCAGAGCAAAAAGTTTACATATACTTACTGTAGGTATAAGAAGTTTGTAGTAGTATACTTTCGTTTCTTAATGCCTTATAAAATTTTACTTTGAATTCAGTCTTCAAAGCTTTATTGAAATATAATGTACATGCCATAAATATTATTAGGTGAACATGTCAATATTTTTACAATGGCAGAGTTGTGCAGTTATCACCACTAATCTCAGAACATTATTACTCCACTAAGAAGCTCTACCATTACTACCTCCAGCCTTTGGCAACCACTGATCTGTGATCTATATGTATAAGAATTGCCTCTTCTGAACATTTATATAACTGGATTCATTCAACATGGGCTTTCTGTGCCTGGTTTTCACGAAGCATTGTATTTTAAAAGTTCATCCTTATATAGTATGTATCATTACGTCGGTCATTTTTATTATCAATAATATCCCACTGCATAAGTACATCGCATTTACTTAATAGTTGGTAAGTCTTTGTGTCATTTCTACTTTAGGTATAAATGGTGCTATTACATATATTTGCATATAAGTCTGTGTGGACATGTTTTCTTTTGGGGTGAAAAAGAAGCAGAATTTCTGGGTGACATAAGGTCTTTGTTTGGCTTGCTATAACAAAGTATCCAGGTTAATGAAACCAATAGGTTTCTTGGCTTTTAGTTAGCTGCCACATTGCTATGTGCTCACGGGGCTTTACTGGGCACATGTACTTGCTGATGTCTTTTCCCAAGAGGACACTAATCCTATAGATCAGAGTTGTGCCCTTATGACCTTCCTTTAATTATTTTCTTAGGGATACCTCTCTAGCTATAGCTCTACTGGAGATAAGAGTTTCAATACAGGATTTGGATGATATGTAACATGATAACTGTCTTTAGGAAACCAATTTTTCCACATTTGACTATATTTTGGACCAGAAGTAAGTACTTATCGATTGTATAAATGTCTTAAAAATTTCAGTGCCTTCATATTTACAGTATTTTCTCATTGTTATATGAGAGGTATTAGATGTTCATATGTTTGTAATAGAATACATGTTGGAATGTCAATAAAGTAACAGTATAGAAACTGTTATACATCTACATACAGGTGAAATAATGTGAAAATGTTCTGACAGATTGAAACATAATAATGATATTGATGGTCATGAATCCAGAAGAACATGGAACTGTCCAATTCAGAAATGCTACAAAAAATTAATAGAAGGTCAACCTTGTAAAACTAATAGAGGAACTAAGCAAATAATCCCTGATGACTTCAAACCATATGCTGGAGATGAGGATGACCCCAAATAGAGTAGCCAGACAGCTTAGTCTCTTTAAGTCCTTTAGAATACGATGAATAGTTGCTTATTTAAACAATTATACTGTCCTGTACTTTGTTTTAAAAGCCAGGAATCACACCTATCTAGTTTTTTTTTTTTTAAATCAGAATAGAAAGCTGCTACTTTAGAAAGTAACTTCATGAGCACCTTTCCTTCTTAGGTTAGGTGCTATCAAAGGGTAGGAAAATATGTTCCTTCCTCAGTTATGTACCTTTTCATTTATGGTTATCTCATACTCCAAGTGAAGATACTCATTGGAAGAATTAGAGCCGACTGTGCTAACTATCTTTTTCTTAATACAATGTGGCTATTCAGTGTTTTGGTTAAAGATGATCTACTCCATGTATTTACTTAGTATCTATCATAGCCTTGAGTACCCAAATCTGACAGCTCTAACAAATGCTAGATACCAAATAATTTACTAACATTTATGTCTCAATTTTGGAGGCTGGAATTTCCAGTATCAAAGTGCCAGCATATTTTGTTTCCAGGTTTGCAGATAGTATGAAGGTACAATCTGATAAGTACTTACTTCCAATCCAAAATACAGTTAAATGTGGAAAATGTTTTCTAAAGACAGACTTATTACGTTATATAATAATTATGTTCTCCCCCTATCACCCAAATCCTGTGTTGAAATTCTAACCTCCAGTATAGCTATAGCTAGAGAGGTATCCCCAAGTAAATACTTAAAGGAAGGTCATAAGGGCACAACCCTGATCTACAGGATTAGTGTCCTTTTGGGAAAAGACAGCAGCAAGTACTCTATACCCACCCCCAGGCATATGACTCTTCCTGTGTGCATCTGATGGGAGAAATGTGTTCCTTTTTCTACAAGGGCAGTAATCCCATCATGAGATTCCTACCTTCATGAACTCATCAGAACCTAATGATCTTTCTCAAAGATGCCATTTAATCCCAATACCACTGTGTTGTGATTGGGGTTTCATATTATGATTGATAGGATATAATCATACAGCCCCTGACATGCACAAAATAGGAATCAAAATATGTATGGAACAAGGAACTATGGTGATGGTACATGAGTGAACTGGTGGTAGGAACTTCATGGGGACTACATCTGAGATGAAAAAGCACACATTGTACAGAAATGAAAATGTTAACACTATAATAATAAAAATTTAAAATAAAATTATTAGGCCAACAACAACAAAAATATATAGGAATTAACTTTATTACATGACCCAAATCATTAAGCTCTTTGCAAAGCACATAATTTGCAAACTTTACTTCCAGTCTAGGTGATTTACAAACCTAGATAATTAAAAAAACCTAATTACTAGGTCTCACTTCCAGGGATTCAGTAGACCTGAGTGGGTCCACTGAAATGGGAAAGAGAAAGGTATAGTTTTTAAACAGTTTTCTAGAGGAGTCTAGTATTTAGCTAGGTCTAACAATTACTGATGTAGGCATTCTAGTCTTATTTGGGGCATCTAAATCTACACTCCCAACTCAAGGGCCTGATACTATAAGAAGTTGAAGGTTGGTAGTTAGATTGTTCCATATAACTCAAGAATGACCTGTTTTACAGTTCCATGTGTTAAAATGCTATCAGTTGAATTTTTACTTTTTAAAGCAAAAACTGGCTCTCAGCATTCTGTGTTTCTTATATACCTGTTTTGCTTGTCCCACAGAGGAAGATGATGATGAGCTCTTTGATGATCCTCTGCCAGTACCTTTAAGGCACAAGGTTCCAAACCAGCAAACTTTGCACCCTGAGGTATTTCCAATGACTGCAGTATCACAAAATCAGCCTGAAAAACTGAGACAAAGTACAGGATGCTTCAAAGCAGAAAGTATACAAAACTCTCTGTGGGAAAACTTTATGGATTGTGAAGAATCCAACAGTGAAAGTGAAGAAGAGTTACAAATCTCACCTTCAGCTCAAGGAGATCTGAATTCTGCTACATGTCATCAGCAAAAGACTGATATGGAAGTACCACAGTGGGAAGTATTCTTTAAAAGAAAAGATGAAATCACAGATGATGGTTTGGAAAACTGCCCTTCATCCACAGAAGCAGGGGCCTCTCAGTCACCAAAGCTTTTCAGTGACTCTGATGGGGAATCAACTCACATCTCCTCTCAGAATTCTTCTCAGTCAACACATATATCAGAACAAGGAAGTCAAGGCTGGGATAGCCAATCTGACACTGTTTTATTATCTTCCCAAGAGAGAAGCAGTGTAGATATTACTTGCTTGAACAAAGGTAGCTACAACAGACCAAGAATCAAAGAGAATGTTCCTGCCTCTCAGATGGAACAAAATGCATTTTTCCCAAAAAATACTTACTCTGATTTGAAAAGCAGAGATCAAGATATAAGTATAGTTCCTAGTGTTGGAGAACCAACTATTTTAAGCACTGGGGAAAAAATACCTCAGGAAAAGTTGTTGCTAAATCCTAGTACCAATGCAGATTCACAGAGCTCCTCTGATTTTGAAATTCCCTCAACTCCAGAGGCTGAACTACCTAAACGGGAACATTTAAGATATTTATATGAGAAGCTGGCAACAGGTGAGAATATAGTAGTTGAAAAAAGAACAAGCACTCTCTCAGATAATTAGGAATTAAAAACATTTCATTTTAGAGCAAATATTTTTTAAAAAACCTATACAAAGAATAGTCAAAGTCGTAAGAAAATAAGATACTAAAACATTTTATATAACTTAATAGAATGCAATAAAGAGGGACCACAGTAACCAAAGGGAAATCACAAGATAAAGTAGGACTAAATTCAAATATATTACATTATTTAATATTACATTAAAGGTGAAATGGTCTAACCAAAACAATGAAAACTTGGGGAAAACAATCCAATTATATGGTGCCTTTAAGCAACTTCAAAAGAAACTAGTAGTGCCTATATGGATATCAAATTACTAATTATAAGAGGTCCAATTAATCAAAAACTGCAATTTAAAATGTGTACATACCTATCAATTCAAAATATACAAAGCAAAACTAAAAGAATAAACTGCACAGTGCTAAAGCTAGTGACTTTAGCATTCGCTTCTCAGTAATATAATTTACAGGAACAACAGACACAGATGAATTGAACACCACTATCAACCAACTGTATCTAACTGAATATATAAAACATTTCTACCTAATCATAGTAAAGTACATGCTTTTCATATCACATGGAACTTCAAGATAGACCTTGTCCTGGATCATAAAAATACTTCAAAGTGAAATAATAAACTTGTATTTGTCAATATATAAGCTGATGACTGTAGATTTATTTATGCCAAAATGTTACACATCAACTTAAGAATGATGTGAAATATAGTAGTTAAAGTTAAAACTAGAAAAATTAGAATAAAAAAGGAATGCAAAAGTATGAGGAATGCATTCTGTAAGTCATTCAATTTCCTGCAAGTTCCATCCGTAGGTTATGCCTTCACATGGTTATGTTGATATTTTAAAGATTAAGGCAGCAAAAGCAGATTTCACTTAAAATCATTTTAAGTGAAGTCTCTAAAACATTTTGCAGATGAAACAATGATATGCATTACCACCAGGTTGCATGGTAATTATACCAAAAGTTAGTATTGGCTTCACAAAATTAGAGTGGATGCTAAGAGGAGTCAGTGGCAAGAGGACTCAAAGTTGGTTTTCTAGTTTTTTTTTTTTTTTGAGAATGTTCCATTCCCAGATGTTATAAAAAAGGTTAGCCCTTTTCAATTTGCACTGGGGAGAAAACTGGGCAGTTATGATACAAGGTGGATGTTCATGCAAGTGTCTATAAACATTCTTCTCAGTATATTCTTGGCATTCTATAATCATACTGTCAATTTAATATTAGATATTGCCACATTTTTATTGTTTTATGTGAATCTGTCATAATAAAATTCTGGTTAAATGAATTTACTAGATTTAAAAATTTATAGTACAGAATAATTACTAATGTTTCTATATGATGCTTTGTCACATTTTACTGAAATCACCCTTGATTTGAGGTAGGCAACATTTATTATCCTCGTGCACAGATGAGATGGTTAAAGCATGACGTTATTAGCCCACATAGTTACCAGGTGCTAAGGCAGGACTCAGACACAGGTAACTCACTGTAGTCTCTTAACTCTATGCTCTAATCTATGCCTTTCAAAATGCAGGATTAACTGTATTGTCTACTTGAGTTTCACTTAAAGGACTGTAAAGTGTAAATGGAGTTAAGGGGGGAAGAAGTTTCAGAACACCAAGATGTACCGCAAGAAACCCAGTCGTTTGTCATGTACCTTACCGAGGTAGCGCACAACTTAGAAGTTTAATAGCTGGTACTGATTTTTAAAGTCTGGAGTTGGCTTAATGTTAAAAATTAGATTGTTTACTGCCTACTAGCTGAGTGATCCTGGGCATGTCAGAGTTACGTATCCAGTGTAAAACTATTTCTGTGTACTAATGGGCAACAGCCCCAATCTCACAGATTTATGAGAAGCATTGAATACATATGAAAGACTTAAGACTTGCTGAATGAATATTAGTTCTACCTTAAAAATTCCTTTGCACTTAAAGACAGTACTTAGAATGTTTAAGTACATGGTAATAGTAACACGTACCTCACTCAAAAAAACATTAAGTAGATAGTGTGGATGAATACCTCTAAAGTGTAAAATTCTACTTTAATATTCAAGTACATGAAGCATGACAATGATAAACTTTTTTAGAATTTCTTAAAAGCAGGTAACATTATATAAACCTTTGGTTAATCTTAATAGCAGATTGGCAGGAATCTATCAGTATTTTCCTACCTCATTTGTAGCTTTACTGGAAATGATAGTAAAATATTCAGAAACAAAAGCTAGGTAATAGCAAAGCAAATGTTAACTAAGTTTTGCTAAAGAAAACTGTTGAAGTGTAGGAAAAGTAAGTGCTGCCTGGAATTTGCAAATGGGAGGAAAAAACCTGAGATTACCACTTATGGTATCACATCCTATGTAGATATGAAAAGAAATACAACTTAAACATGGATCAATTTACAGTCTAAGTTTGATTAAAATACTGTCGTTGAATATATTTGTTTTATAGCGAGACAATAAATTCTAACAACTTAAGAAACTAGAAGAAGCTAAATGCTGATTTAAAATAGTTAATGTGCCTAATAGCTTCATTTCAAGTTTCTATTTTACTAACATAAGGGCAACAAAGGCATTTAAAAGTTCAAAGGTCCATTAAATTTCTAATAAAAGGACAAAACAAGTTTACTAAAAAGTAATTTTCCCTTTGCCCTTAAGTTTTACACTTTTTTAAAAAACACATAAAGTAGACATAAGATTGTAAAACACTTAAAAATACTAAATTTATATCTTTAAACTCATGAGAACCATCATTCAAAGTAAACTTGGCTTTTGGGAGCAACCTATAAATTTGTGACCCTTTCTCACCACTAATTTTTCATAAAGAAAACATGACAGTAAAAAAAAATGCACTTTCACTTAAAACTTGCAGTTTCTGGTGAGCAGATAAACTCTTTGAGGCTCTATTATGTAAACAACCCTACACTATATCAAAAAGCAAAGTCATGTGATGGTGGTATAGGTGAATATATTGTAGCTTCTCAAAAAAAAAAAAAGGAGGTTAAAGATTAAGAGGATATTTGCAAGTGCTGCATTCCTGAAGTCATTTCAATTTTACCTATGCTTATATTTTAGGTCATTAAACCTAAGGCAATGAGCTTAGGCAGGACTTAATTAGGAATACAAAAAGCTAGATAATTTGCATTTACCTTTATGTCGGACATCATGAATAGAAATCCCATAATGAGAAAGAGATGAAAAGTTTTCCTGATTGAAGTTTTACTATGCAGAAAAAAAAGACAATATATTCCATTTCAGTATATTTCAAGTAATAAATGGACTTCAAATTCACTTGGTCCAGAGCAAGTTTAGCTTTATCACATTTAAAAAGTTTGTATGTAAAATTTCACTTCAAAATATAACTTTAAGATGAGTCTACAGGAAATATAAAAATGATTAAATCTGGCATGAAGAAAATGTTAATCTGAAATCCAGAAGCTGTAAAGTATTGTGTCAAACAATTAGCTACTGTTGCTCTCCGGGCACTCTTATTTTACTGTTTACACCAAAGGTACGCAACATGGATTTTCTAATTCATGTTCTTATGAAGGCCCCTTAAAACACTCCATTTCCCCTACCTGGCACTCCAAAATACCCCCTTGGCCCCACAGTCCTGGCTTTTCAAAGAAACAATGGTCAGCCGTTGAGAACTGCAGAAAACATTTTAGAGATTTTTCTTCCACAGGGTTAAAAAACCTTTTAGAATTACTGGCTCATACAAATAACCCTCATATGAAATAAAACATGAAATCAAGCTGTAATTAATGTTTTTTACATTTAATTTTATATCTTAAATTCCTTATCACTGAGATCCTTAGATGAAGTACAAAATAGAGTGTAATTCAGTATCACTTATTTGTCTCAAATACAAGCAGTGAGAAGTAGGTAAATCATAATGATGACATACTAACAAAAAAAGAACTTGAGTGTTTGCCCAAACTGAATTAACTCTATTTCTCTAGATCAAGGTATATGGCAAATTCCACGTTTGATCTTAGCAACTGTTCATTATCAATTTAACACTTAAAATACTGAAGGAGGCATCTCTATTCATACAGGCTTCTTAAGTGTATGTATACTGATCTGGAAGTAGTTTTTCTTCAAGTTTGTTAACTCACACCAAATATATATTTCAGATTATTTTATGTGACCTCTCTTCAGCATCGGCAGATAGTCATTTGACCAATGGTGTGAAACATGAATTGTAATTAACACAGGATATAATCTTGATAATATGAAAAGAGTCCCAAATATTAGAAAAAAAAAATTTAACAACAGAGAACAACAACTACAAATATCAGTTCTATTTCCTGAAAATTCAGTTGAGGTAACCTCTGCAAGTCACAGCTCCACACTTGCACACAGTTCTGACCCTCTTTTTGGCTGGGCTGTAGTCAATAGAATCTGAAGATATATCCCCAGAACCTGAACACATAGAGAAAGAAATAGGAAAAGTGAGTTAAGACAATTCAGGAAGAATTTCAAGTTTTCCACCAATTTTAAAGTAGCAAGATTGCTTACATATTCAAGACCAATATAGAAAGTAAACATCTAAGGAAATTAAATTCTTTTCACATATATTAACAAAAAGGTTATGAAACAACTAACATCCATGAAACTGTACTTGAAACCGTACCTTTCATTTGATAATCAAAAGTGAGTTCTTCTCCAGCACTTATGGTTCTTGTGGAAAATAATGCTATTCGGGGAAGACGAGTATCGAGGTTATCAATGAAAACATTGAACACTTGAAGATTTGGGTCACACTAAAAAGGAATATTAGATCCATTTAAGTAAAAATGATGTGAACAAGCTGTGCCACATGAAATCTTTAATTTTCTAAAGTATTAGTTTTTAAGTTCTACTGGAAATTTTAGTTGACTATTGTTTAGAGATCTCGGAAGCACACATATTTAAAAAGATTTAACAGTAAATCTCAAACAAACCAAGCACTAGTTTCAATAATTTGCCAATAATGTTTCACCTAAGTTGCTTTTAAATTTTTCTGATAAGGTTAATGGAAACCTCAGATTCATCATTTCATCTAAATTCAGTAAGGCATACTAAAAGAACTACAATATTTTAATAATCAGCACTTTAGAACTCAGAGTTCCTACTCCAGTTAATTTTACTGCTTGTATTTTATTTGAAATTGTTCAGTATCCTGAGAACTCAACACTAAATTATGGAATATACACAACAGATCGAGATAATTATACAAGAAAGTGTTTAGTTGACCTTGAATGAAATACATTTTGAGTGTATCTCAGACTTGACATTAAGACAAAAATAATGTTAAAATGGGAAATCTGATGAAGAAACCAGAAGTCTGTCAATTTACTAAAAATCATAAACTAGTTTCTTGATTAATTATAATTTCTTAATTAATTTATAATTTAGAAAAACAGCCCTAATTACCTCAATATTTTATGTTCTTAAAATTTATAAAAATTTTAGGCCCTCCCTGGTGGCGCAGCGGGTTAAAGCACTGCACTGAGAATCTAAAACCGCTTCCGCATGAGTTCAATTCCCGCCTGCCCTGGAGGTGACCACATGGCGTGGCAGACCTCTCCTGACCCGCCCGCTGCTCCCCTCAGCAGTGTACTTCGTCGATCTGCCTGTTCTGTTCCCTACTCTGTCTCTGGTGAAGCCTCTCGCCGCCCCGAGCTTCTGGCCTGTACCCCAGTTCTGTATGTACAAATAAATAAATCTTTAAAAAAAAAAATTATAAAAATTTTAAATATTTACATTTTTAGAGAATAGTCCTATTTTTAGTTGTACATACTGAAATCTACACATGATTTTAGCCAAAAGGCCAAAAGCGATAGATAATACATCCTAAAATTAGATATTAGTAATAAAGTTGTGACTCTTAAATTTTTTATTAGTTCATTGATTCATTAATTTCCACATGTATACATGGGTACTACCTACCTTATAAACTTGGGAAGTTTAAATGAAGTAATTTTTTATAAAGACTTTTTGCAAAATGTAATTGGTAGGAGGGTCCTCCCTACTGGCACAGCAGGATAAAACCCAAAACTAAGGGCCAACCCTGGAGGCACAACGGGTAAGGGAAGGACATAGTAGCAAGCTAGCCGTACGGCTCAATTCCAGTTCAATCTCCTGTCCCGAAGGTGATCCACATGGCGTGGCAGACCTCTCCTTACCAGCCTACTGCTCCCCTCAGCAGTGTACTTTGTTAACCTGCTTATTCTGCTCCCCACTGTCTCTGGTGAAGCATCACAGGCACAAACCTGCACCTCTGGCTTGTACCCCATTTCTGTATGCATAAATAAAAATCTTAGGAAAAAAATAAACAAAAAACAACACTAAGAAGCTATGCATTTACCTTTATGTCGGACATCACTAATAGAAATCCCATAATGAGAAAGAGATGAAAAGTT